ATAAAATAAAAAAAATATGCTGAAATTTATATTGCATTATAACCAAGCGTAAACAAAATATTATATTAATTCTGTTTAAGTTATTTTCTAAGATGTTTTTGACTTTTTTGATGGATCTGTATTAATAAATATTAATAAAAAAATACTTTTTAAAACAAAAAAAAAAATTTAAGTCTTAAACTGCCCGTACAATAGTCGCTCAGGCGTGGGTTCGAGCCCTGGCAGTCGCAATTTTTCTGCGATTTCCAAGACTTGCTCCCGTGCCGACTGTAACAGGCAAATGCGAGTACAGACTGTAAGTCGGCCACAGCCGCGGAAAAAAAGAGAATAGTATTGATAAATAGTAGAGCTTAATAGATTGTTATAGAATATATATTCTCACACAATTACTAAAAAAAAAAAAAAAAAATTACAGTCATGAGTTTCTAAACATAAATATTTATATTGATTGTGCTCAGTTTTACGATTGGATAAAGCAGATCATTTCATGATCATAGTTACACTAAGGATGTATATCTGCAAAATTGGAGAAATTAATCGTGACTCATAATAAATAACAATCAGTGATTATCAAGCTTGCAATTTTGAAGAAAATATTTTTTTCTTCTTTTTTTTAACTTATAAAGTATTATTTATAATAAAACATTCATGGATTATTTCTTCAGACTAGATTATCTGCAGAAACACTAAGGATGGATTTTTGCAAAATTGTAGAAATTAATCGTGAATCATAATAAATAACAATCGATAATTATATAGCTGAAACTATAAGAACATTATAAAGAGTAAATCATAAATTTTAACAGTAGCAAAAGATCTGTAATAAATTAATTCATCAAATGTCGGAATCAGTATTCATTAATAATAAATAAGCCCTTCTATTAAACTGACATGTCAATTTAACATCTACGACTTTATTATATTCCCCACAATACATTGATCTTCATTGTACTAACCATGATTATAATCAATATAGGTTTATGTACATAGTTACACCTTAATGTTATTTTCCAAGTAATAAACGAATAGATAACATCATTTGATATACCACCAGCTATAAAGAGTAGTCGTCAAAAAAGCGTTAAAAAAAATTAATAGACTTTTTTCTAAGTTGATTATATCTGACGGAATTTATTGACCTTCACAATAGAAAAAAAAAGTCCTTTAAGAATAAAATAAACTTGCATTTATATTCATCCGCGTAAAAACGAACTATTTATTTTTTCTAAATATTATTGGAGATAATTTAATTCTTTTCAGAATCTCAAGTTCCATCTTTTCAAGAATAAAGTTAACCTAAATCTTCAAGTAGTTTTCATTATCTCAATCTTTTAATTGCAATATTCCATGACTAAAATCTTGAAATTACAAATTATTTTTTTTTTTAGTAAAAAATATATATCTATAGCTTGATACCTTTTATCATATAGATCTCATTCCTTCTTTTCTATTCATCCTCTTCGGAATTGCCCGGTCGTCTGGACGAGCTTTCTATGAGTTCACGTGCAATAACCGAGAAGATCGTGGATAACGAGACTCGCTGCGAGATTAACCCCCGACTTGGCTGTTTCCTTACCTCAATGACTATCACCAGTTTTTCTTAAAGCACGATGGTTAGTAAAACGGTGTACTAACTCGGAGAATATACTAAATTCTATTAATATATGGTGTACGTTTATTATACTCCATATATATACCTTATACGTAGAATAACGTGTGGTGAATCTGGAAAAGTGAGATGAGCAGAGATGCATGGAAGATCAGTCGGATCATAATATTGCGACATGGCGTTTCAGTAATTTGATATAACTCGTTATGACATTAGACGTCATTTTACAGGTGAAATACGACTCTTATTTAATATATCTATAATTAATCTTTGAGAATCTTTATTTAAATATCTTGCTAAAATATTCGTTTGTAATTAATAATCTATATTATTAAGAGAATAAGAAAAGTTTTGTCTCCAGAATAGTCATATCAAAGGTCTTGGCATGAATTTGTGTCTTTTCAAGATTTCATATCATTCTCATAGATAATTTATGATGATAAGTAGTTATCATTCGAAAATGCTCTATCTCGAGATACACAATTAAGAAATGACCTTATATCTTGTGAACTATTGACATTTTTAAAGATATAAGCTCACCCCGACATTATACTCATCGAGACCTTTCATTTGAGTACCCACATCAATTTTTCATATATTTATATAAATCGTATATATGTATATATGAAAAATATATCAAAAATGCATGTGGGTACTCAAATGAAAGCTCTTGATGAGTGTAACATCGGGATGAGCTTATATCTTTAAAAACGTCAATAGTTAAGAAATTACAGTGCAATTTGACAAAAGTAATTATATAATAAAGCAAAATTTTATTTATTTATAGTTCACAAGTCAGATAAAAAATGACAATAAAAATAATTTATGATTATTTGTAATTTACACTCTCAAGTTAATATTTACACTCATAAATTCATAAATTCGACATAACATTTGTATAAATTGTTAACAAAAGGTACAGAAACAGGCAAAATCTGCAGATTATCCAAGCGAACCAATTTACAAGTCACACAGTCCATTAAAGCTTTTGTGTACCAGGGTATAAATATCCTACAAGTATACAAACCCCTGACCATAGTCTGAATAAGTTTCTCAATGGTAGTTTGAAGAGCAAAAGATAGAAGGAGCGAGGACCTGCAACCAAGTAGCACCGTAGCTCGAGTATCGATCCTAGCACTAGGGCATTATTTCTAGTTAAAATTAATCTATAGGCAGCATTCATAGTAAAAATTTTTTGTAAATAATTAATATTTTGAATTAAAACAAATAAACTTGGAAAAATACTAAGAATAATAAATATTTAATTCTTTGAGAGTATCTGAGGCTAAAAATCGACATGGCAATGGACTTGGTAATTATTCTAAAGGGTTGTTTTTGCGATGAGAGCTTGTCTTGGAGTAATAAACCCAAAAGAGGGGCGGTGGGGTGACAGAGACATGATCTGGTGGGTACCAGATGGTGTCGACACTGATCGAGAGTTCAGACTCTGGTGCTCGTGTAAAGGTTTTATGTAACATCTTTCGGATGTTTCCAAGTCACTTGTCTACTCTTCGGAGGATCACTCTTCCTTTTTATTGTCCTTTCTTCTTTTTTTATTACCCACCAAACTTTACAATTTTATTATTCTACTGACATGTCTATTATACTTGCCAACTTTCTTTTTATTCCGCCATATTTTTTTGATATTATTTCCAAGATTATCTTCTATAATTAATTAAATTATAAACCGATTATTCAATTAATTTTTTTTTTATAAAAAAAATTAGATTGAAAAATTGTCGCGAAAATTCTCACGTGTAATCGATGCTGTATTAAATCCTTTTCTAACTTAAAGTGAGACTGCAACGTTTTCTAATAAAAAATAGTTCCAACGTTGAAGTTAGGATGTTGAACCAATAATAAGTCTTTCTGTACGTTTCAAATATCGACGTGTTCATAAAAAAGAAAAAAAAATCATTAAATAAATAAATGAATAAAAGGATAAAAAAAATTGTACTCCTTTGTCTTTGTCTCGAGAGAGAAGACTTACCAAGCTTTTTCTATCAGGATATTAAGGTCACAAAATTAATTTCAAGAGTCTAATAAATACTTGCAAGACTTGCAAGAAGTAGCAAAAAAAAATAAAATTTTTATTTAATTAATTAAGTGATTATTTTATTTACCTTTTTGTGATTAATATTCTTTTGAAATTACTTGCTACCTTTTCTATTTTTTTTATATCTTCTTATATTTCTTTCTGAAAAGGATTTTAATGAAGTAATAATTATTTTTGATAAATAATTTCAATGTGGAAAAGTAGTAAAAACCTCCATGAAAAAAAAATATATGTCGAAATGTATAAAAAATATATTTTAAATATATTCAAAATATATTCTAAAATACATAGCTAAAAATATAAAAAAATTAATTTTGAATATATCTAAAATATATAAAATATATATGAAAATCGGCCAAAAGTTAGTTATTAAAACTACATTTACCATACATATTTTATATATATTTATAGATTTTTAATATATTTAAAATATATTATTTATATATTTAGACACATATTTTTTTTTATGGGGGAAATTAATAACATTAATATTAATGTTCCTGAGCATTTTCCGAGTTATTATTTTTTCAGTAACCGAATAAAGTTTCACTGAGTAAATAAAATAAATTATTTGCATAATCTTAATTAAAAATAATAAAATTTTTAATTATTAGATATATTCACCCGAGGAAGGTATGAGTGCTCATACCGACAATAATGTGGGGTAAATAGATTTAATAAATAAAAATTTAATGAAAATCAAATTAGTCAAACATCAATTTGGATCGGGGATAATGGCTTTGAAATATGAACTTTTTATTTAGTGAAAACACCGATCTTCGAAAATAATAGTAAATTAATATTGCTATGTCCGAATTAATTATAATTAAATAATTATTTGGTAGAGTGGGCCTTGAAGAGGCTCGGACACGTTTTTAGATAGATTTTCTCTTGTAGACAAGCTACAAGCTACAAGAGTTTTATATTTATTGTGGATTTCGAACGCCTCCTGGTAACCACGGTTCCTAACGGCAAATTTAAAGAGAAGTCGATTACAGAAACTGAACTTACAGTCGTCCCATATGAATTTTATTGTTGATTTGAATTTGAGCTGTTGATCTGTAGATCCTGGATTTTGTTATTGGTCTAAAATTGCAGATTTGACGGAACGTGGACACAGTGTGCTCAAGGCGTGATCGAGGTGTTGTCCGAGTGATTGTCATTTAAAGTGCAAGCGCTGCACTTTTCGTCGTGAGGGCAGAGACCCTGAGTGTTATATGAGGCAACGCCGGATATAACAATATTAATATTAAAATAAATCGATTTTAAAAAAATTCCTAAGAAGTTTTTATTTAAGGGTTAAGTGGGTCTTAAAGCAGCTAACTTTACTTTTAAATGTTTGTAAAAGATATTCCTGATTAACAAAATGATATAAACATTTAAATTCACAGTTTTTGACTTCGTGATAAACATAAATAACGAAAAAGATTTAGATAAAAGACACAACAGTAAACCTTGACTTAACTTTCTGTTTTAGATTTGTATACAGTGACAATCGAGCAAGAAACCACCCTTTTTGCATTAGTGATGACAACACACCTGTCTGGTTACTTCGCCTAGAAACGTTCACAGTCACAGTCAGTTTGGGAATATTTAATCTTCGCGATCAGGTGAGTGACCGACTATCACGCTTTCTTACAATTAATTTTGTTTTCTTTTTTTCTATAAATGTTAGCTTTGAGGATGAAATAATTGAGAGAAAGAGTAAAAATAACTTTCGCTAAATCAAACAGTCGAGTATTAATTATTGAGTTAAGTTAAGAATTTGTTTGTCGAGTCTGAAACTTGTTCAAACGAAAAATTAATTCAAATCACTTTGCTTTGCTATTTTATTATTTTTTTTATTTTTCGCTATTTAATCTGCAGCGTTAGTAATTTTTTTTATTCTTACAATGAAAACTATCCCGACTTTTCACCTGGGTTGGATAAAGGATATACGAGAAAATGAAATTAGTCCAGGGGAATGTCGGATTTGCTGCGAATGCCCGTCGCCACGTGGAATTTCAATGGGATACCACGACTACTCCACGACGTGGTGCAATCTCGAGGATGCCAAGCTTTCTATTTTCTCTTCTCTCTTGCTCACTTTTGCCCCCATAATTGCACTCACTCATTCCATAGTCTACTTTAACACTTTAAATTGAGTTTCGGACTTATTACTACGGATTCGGATAATTATAACTAACAATTATTCTTTAACTCTTACAAAAGAAACTCATAAGCATCAAGAAAACAATCAGACCGAAAAATAATTTTTATTTTTAAAAATAAAGATCAATATACTTTCAGGGTCTGGGAAGAAGTATTATTGTTATTTCATATTACTATTTCTTATTATAACTTCAATTAAAGTTGCCAAACTGTAAAAGGAATGAAGACTTTGATCTGCACTGCTAATAAAAAAATTTATTGCAGACTGAAATAAAATTCTTATTTACAAACAATTGTCTCGAAAAAATCATTTCGGTAATATAGGTATCGAACGAATCAGAACTTCATAAGTCGGACAAGTCATTTATCGCACACAGAACATAAGCGTAAACTTTTTCGTTCACTACAATTTCTAAAGGATAGGTTAAATATTTTCACAATTATTACACTGAAAAAAAAATTAACTAGTCAAGAGAAAAATTCTTGAACCAAGAATATAATTTTGAGAAGGGTAATTGAGGAGCTGAGTTTCAAAAGGGTATCTTTTCATTTTTTATTAATCGAGACAAAAAATTGGTTATCTTTAATTATAAATATTTGTATTGAACTTTTTTTAATTTAGCTATAAAGTGATATCGGTTATGAAGCTGCAATTCGATTTTCATTTATAAATCTTTATAATTGTCGAAGTAATTAATATTTAAAAGTTCTGAAAACTGGTCTTTTAAAATATGAAAATAAGATACCCTTTTGGAAATCAGCTCCTCAATTGTCTTGAATCAAGACAAAAAATTCTTGAGTCAAGAAAAATTTCCTTAACAATCAAGAATTTTTCCACTCAAATCAAGAATATTAAGTTCTTCAAAATGATATACTTGATTCAAGAACATTTTTTTTTTCTGTGTATAATCTAAATATATAATTAAGTAGAATAACTCAGCGAATAAGAAGTTTGAAATAAAAATCTGAAGTAACTTTAAGTTCTTCCGAAATCTCAAGGCCATATACTTTCAAACACAACTGCCTGACGAATGATTTACTAATTTCCCTTTTTCTATTGAAACTTTCTTCACGTTTAAACTTATAAATCTGTTTTTATGGTGGTTAATTTTAAGTCAACATTTGTTATTTAAATACCTTGTCTTTGTCAATTTAAATATTTAAATGTTGTTGTTATTTTAACTGAATTGAATAGTTATCACGTTGACTTCGCTTCACATGATTTGTGTTTCGATACAGTGAGCTTTTAAGTAAATTGAAGATATTTTATAAAATAAATTCAACTCTATTGTCTGTGCTATTAACTTATCCATTATTAGCCCAGCATATATTTATAGCTTGTTTTAATTCTCCAATACAAATTATCAAACATTCTAATTCCATTAAATTACAGTCATGAGTTTGTAAACATAAATATTTATATTGACTGTGTATATCTGCAAAATTGTAGAAATTAATCGTGACTCATAATAAATAACAATCAATAATTATCAAGCTTGCAATTTTGAAGTAAATATTTTTTTCTTTTTTTTTTTTAACTTATAAAGTATTATTTGTAATAAAAAATTCATGGATTATTTCTCCAGACTAGATTATCTGCAGAACGAAAGTGTAATGCTAGCTATTACAATACACAGGAATCGAGCGTGTATCTTTTGCACGAAAGGAAGTTCTCAACTTACTGGAAGCAAGTTTCTCTTATGTTCTGCCTCGTATCTAATGCAAGCTTGACGTCACACTATACTGGCTGCTATGCCTAATTTTATGCATCGAGAACGACAGGTCAATGTTGAATATAAAGTATATATATATATATATCTCCACTTTGTATTGCAACAACATTCGCCTTTATTTTTTCATTCTCTAGCTGTCTTCTAATCGTTAAATAGTACATAATTTTACCAACAGTTAACATTTGCTTAAAAGTTTTTTCAATTGTTATGGTTTTAATTTATTTTAACATTTTAAAAATCTTATTCTAACTTTATAATTATAAAATAAAATATTTGATGCCTTGAATTATAACCTAATGTCGACTGTCCTTCATAAGAAAATGACAACACAAAATGCGCATTGAGTAAATGTCACTTTTCGTTGTCTGGTACATCCTCGGGGAAATTCAATTTTCGTCACCCACAAGAACGGAAATCAATTTAACCAGTTAGCCCAATTGAGTTATGCAGAACAAAGAAGACTTGAATATTCATCGTGTCGTGGGTGAAATAGTCAACAGTTTAATTTACTACTCGTTTAGGATCTCATTAACTTAACTATTTGCTATATTTAAATATATACATTACAATAAACTCTACTTGTTTCAATAAATATTCTGATTAACGTTTCGTAGAGTCGAAAAATTTTATCAATTAATCTCAACATTTTATTGCATTAGTCAGCAGTCACTTGACAATTTTAAAAATTTTTTTTAACAAATAAATTTAGATTATCTGAGGAATATTTCATATAACTTCTATAATTAATCTTAATGAGATGTACAAGCTTTAAAATTAAATTCAAATCACTGCAAGCTATTTATCGCTAATACGAAGTTTATGTGAGCGATGTTTTTCCCCTATATGTTCTGTCGGTCTTTTATTTTTTATCTTTTTTCTCTTTTTTCATAGATCGTATAAACTATCTCAAAGCAGGTAAATCACGCTTGGGGTTTCTCGTGCTTTGATGTGTTCTTTTAACATAATTTCCTTTACATTTTAACGAAACCAAATATTTACATTAATTAACGTTCTAATTATTAATTTCGTTCATTGATTACAAAATGTTGACAGTTGAAAATAAAATAAAAAACATTTTTTTCATTAATCTTAATTAAATTAATTCCTTTGAAATTTTTTTTTTGAGGGGTTAATAAACTATAAAAAAATTTGAAAAAATTCTTGGAGCCTTCAACTTGATATATTTGTAAAAAGTTATATATTTTTCTTTAAAAATTTTTTTTTTAGTTCAGCAGTAAAATTACGCATTAAAAAATATTAAAACACTTATAAAAAAATTAGGAAAACGGTTGACCCTGGAGGCCATCCCTACAACTTCTCGCCACTTTCATAACTAAGCGCTCAAAATCGCACTTATAACGTTTTTGAGCTTGACGAGCTCAAAAATATACTTTTCGTGTATAGTTTTGAGCTCTCCGAGCTCAAAAGTCTGATAGACGTTTGATAAAACACTATTTTTTGAATTTTCAAACTGCAATAACTTTTGAATAAATAAACCGATTTTCACGCGGTTGGCGGCATTCGACGCAGTTTTTCAAATTCTATGAAAAAAATTTTTGAAAAAAATTTTTTTCACAGTTTTTTTAAGATTTCTCAATCTGCTATTTTTAAAAAACGCCATTTTTTTCGTCTGAAATATTTGGAAATAATAATTAATAAAAGTATAGTTAAGTTCAGGATTACAATAGTTGTATTGCAAATTTTTTTACTATGTAAAAAATAGTGAGCATTTACCATAAATATTCCCGTATACTTCTTCCCGTATACAAACTTTATTATCTTCCTCGAACATTTACACAAATTCGTACTCGTGATTCGTGAATTTCGCTTTATATCATCCAAGCTTTTATCCGGCTTTAACGTCAATCATCAAAAATCAAATTATTAAATGTTTCATATGTATCAAATCGTTACTCCACGATAATAATTCATCTCTTGCTCGCCATTAATTTAACATTTATATCATAATAATAATAATAATAATTTTATACTTTGTATTGAGGATAATGTTAATGAAAATGAACTTTAATCTTAAACACCAATTTTAAAAATTTAATTAAATAAATTTATAAAATTCTGACAATAAAAATTAAATTCATAACTTGTTAATAAAAGAAGAAAAAAAAATGTTTCAATCATAACAAAAATAAAGTAAATTCTACGAAAATAATAACTTTTGTAAAGAAAAACAAAACTAAAAAAGGCTTTAGACACCTAAATTTTTCTTATTTCTTGTTTTCTTTTACTTAAGGTACTGCTTACTCAAACTATTACTCTCTTTTCTCTTTGGTACCAGTTGAGAATAAGTAAAGCAAAGCAAAGCAAACCTCTTACGTTTCCATTACCCGACGTATTTTACCGGTCCGCCTCGCTCCTTAATTTTCCTTGACGTTTTCTTACGGCCATTCTATTACTAACCAAGAGCCATCGGATTTCCTAGGGCACTTATTATTCCGTTGACGTTTGCTCTCGTGTATTGCCCACGCATTTTCACTCACCGGTTTTTTTCATTTTTCTGTTATTACTTTTGTCAATAAGCCAGTAAATTACCAACTTAAATTTAACCTTTGATAACTTATTACTGATATTTTGTTTTTATTTATGTATTAAATACTGCAAAGTTCCAGCTGGTACGTGATTAACTCAATATAACTTTTTATATCTATTAAATATCTTTTGAATTGAATTATCAAATGATTCGCTTGATTAATTTTTTAAAACAGGCAACTTTCTTTGTCTGATTTTATTTGTAGGATTAATTAAAGTTGTACTTTTTGAGACTTCAAAATTACTAACAATGACGATCATCAAGAGACACAATTTTTCTTTTTTTTTTTAAAGAACTTCTTAACCATGAATTCTTATTTTTCTTTGACTTGTTTTGAGTTGAATTTACTAGTAAAACATGACTACATAATTTTGAATCTTTTAGCTCTGTTGTTGTCGTTTCTTCGATGGTCTTTGGAATTTCTAACCTTAACTTTCTGGATACCATGTAAACTAGGCAAATAGAGAGAATAAGAAAGTACATTTTAGTTCAACTGTCGAATCTTTGGCTTTGTTTAAAATCTTACAATTAAACTCAATTGTATGTGTTTAATATAAACTAAGTTGAAATTTCTAATTTAGATATACATTATAGACAGTTGCAATTTTTTTTATAACTGACTTTTCAATTGCTTGCTTCGAAAATAAAAAAAACTACAATAAAAATTA